CAAGGAACTCAAACTTCAAATGCTGCCTCCTAGCTTTAAACTGAGGATATATATCCACAGAAAGATGACAAGTGTAGGAAATTAAGCCTTTTTTACATAATATATATAATTAAGTTATCTTATATGATATTTGGGGTCAAATCATTTGATTGAATCCGGCCCTTTGCTGCGTGTCTTCCCCATTCTCTCTCCTCCAGTTCATGCTTCTGCTGTCTTATCAATAAAGAGGAAAAATACCCAAAACATTATTAAAAACAACTAAATAAAGACAGAAAATATCCCTGTTCAGCCCATAAAACATGTCACTGTCTCGGTGCATTGTTAGAACCAGACAGGCGCACGGACGGCACACACCTACACCAAGGCTTGATGGCCTATCCTGCCACATTAAAGAAAATGCACAGGAAATGACCGGATCTGTTGTTTTCGGGTGAATGGGCTCTTCCTGGGGTCACGACAACCGCTACGTTAAAGTTCATGGAAATCAGTTCAGAGATGGACAGACACAGACGCACAGACAGACACAGACAGACATGACCTCCTTGCTCAAGGTAGAAATAGAAGATTGTGAACTGTATTTGAAGACCAACACGAGACATTTGATTCAATGTGCTCGATGAGAGACAAAACGATTATGTTTTCCGTCTGTGTGTTTGTGTGTTCATGTTTTCCCAAGAGTAGTTTCTTCATCCTCACCTCAAGCAGGTGTGGAGTGTGTGTGTGTGTGTGTGTGTGTGTGTGTGTGTGTATCTTTGCTCCCGCAGGTTGGTTTCCAGATGAGACTGCTGCTACCAAAGCGTGTGAGTCACAGCGTCTGTTGAAACGTCGACCACAGCGTCGTCATACCTGAGCGCTGCCAGACATGTCTGTGTATGTATGTATTTGTATGTGTGTGTGTGTGTGTGTGTGTGTGTGTGTGTGTGTGTGTGTGTGTGTGTCTGTGAGGGCTTTTATGTGAGAAATGTGTGTGTGAGGGTGAAAGTCAAATATCACCTTCTGCAGCTCCTCTTCCATGATTCCACCTGTAAATCTTCTCAGACAAAACCATGAGGAGACAACACCTGATATTCTTCAGTGACTCACACCACTTTCGAAAAACTTAACAACCTCGAACTGAAAAATCCCCGAACCTGGCAGAGTCCACTCTCTTTAGCTTCGTAATTTATGACTCTGGTCGGCCGAGAGGAGTCAACGAGGGACAGATGCTGGGAACGCAACATCAGCTTACAACATAATCACATGGTGGCTTGACCCAAAGTCCCCATACGGCACTGAGGCTCCAAAATAGTCCCACTGACCTCATCTAATGTTTCTTTTCTTTCATTTCTTCAGTGCAGCAATCGACAAACGAGCGAGCTGCGGACAACCAGAGTCCCCTCAGAGGATTGAGACACCATCTACGTATAATACATCTAATTTAGTGTCTAAAGCAATAAATCATTATAGCATCAACTTGTGTTCATAATCACTGTGCATTACCTCCATAAATAATCAAAATTACAAAGGTGATCCCGGCACAAAAACAATGTTGGATATAAACAGCAATAACTTTGATCCAGCAAAAGAGACGTAAGAGCATTGTGGCCTTTGTGCAGCAATTAACGTCGCCTCGCACAACTTAGTGCTGTTTTTGTCTGCAGTAATTACAGTGTGTGTGGAACAGAGCCAAGGGCAAGGTGTGAAGCAGCTTAGTCATCGTTGCTCATCGGCACATCTGCATGACGTCTTGGTGTTCGTGGTGTTCGAGGCGGGCGGGGAAACGTTTTGGGCGACACGAGAGAGAATGATTTTTTCAGGACTTTCACAGTAAAACAAAGGTGAAGTGTAGATTTTATAAGTGTTTTGATTCCTGACGCATGCAGTGAACTCCAGATAATCTCCTCTCACATTCGCTGTGAGTGAAAACGCAAATGTCAGAGAGACTTTTTCTGGAGTTTCTCCTGAACAGCCCCCAAAATATTCTCCAGAGTATTCAGACTACAGACGCATAACTGGAAAAAAAACAAAAGGACTATAAATATCTCAGGATAAATAAGCGATGCCACACACATGGAAGACTCATTTTTCAACAGTAGGAAGTTTGGATTAGTCCATGTTGCTGGTGGAGACCAAAACAGAAGAAAAAGAGTGAATATCTTGCTTTGAATGATCGGCTGCCCTAAAACAGATAACTTCTTATCAAGACTAACATTGTTCTATGTCTGATTTGTTTGTAAATCGGCCCCAGTTCAACTTGAGAGTGATAAAATTGTGTTAACAGCTTATTCCTGCTCCCCAAGTGGCCCAATTGTAAACTTGGCTAATGCTGCTCGGTTCGTCACCTCAAAGTATAAAACCTATTATCTTCTTAGTTGAGAGTTAAATGAATGACTTGCATGTACAAGTGAGAACTCCACTTGGGAATTAAAGAAAAAATACTATGATTTTAATTGCTGATAATAAACAGTTGAGTATTTGATCTTCCTGAGACACATTTTAAACAAACTCCAGATATGAAACTTGTGATCCATCCTCTGTGTTTCCCTCCTCAGCTCCTCCTCCTCCCCTCACACAGCCATCACTGTTCAGTGTCTGATGCTGTTATTCTCTACAAACCACATTTCCACTGAGCGTCGCTGACCCGGTGTCGTCAGCAGCGCTCATCAGCTTTCACCCAAACAAAGCACTCACTGAAATATCATTTTATTATTATTTCTCCTGACACAGAAATCAGGCGAGTTACATAAATAAACGTCCCAAAAGCCGAATCATGTCGCTGTGATCTGCTCTGAGTCAAACTGAGGCTGACAACTGTGGAAGTTACTGAGAGTCCCCGAGCTCCACGGGATCCATGATGACAGCAGAGTCTGACTGAAGATGGAAACGCTGGAGACTGGTCAGCTAAAAAAAGAACGAACAGGAGCTTCGGGTTCGTTCGCTCACGCAGTTTTCACCTTTTATTTAAAGGCGTGTCTTCAATGTCAATGGAAACGTCGACAAAGGCCCTTAAATTGAAAAGGAAACCGTTTTGTATCTGAGGAAACATGGCACACTGAGACAGGAAGTGGGTGTAGATCTGGGAAAACAGGAAATAAAAGAGGAGAAGGAAAGGAGGCATCAGAGAGAACAGTTAATGATTAGAAATGTGGAGCTGAGTTTGGTGTGAATGTCAATCAGCTGTAGAGTAAAGATTGTTTTATATTTGTAGTAGAGGGAGCCACCTGCTGGTTAAAGGACCAACAGACAGACAGAATTACACATCCACTATAATTTGGGATTTCGGTACCAAAATAAAAAAAGTTCACTTCAGTGCTTTTATTCTAATTGCACCTTAAAATGAAATGAAGTGACAGTGGTACAGAAATTAACATACGGACAAGTAGACCACTCCAGGGAGGGTATTAAAAAAATAGCAAATGTACTGAGTTATACTTATATTTCACTTAATATTGCATAGTTAGATATCATTGCACTTCTTTTTAATATTAATGCTCATGTTGGGGCCTCCAACAAAGTCAAGGTCAAACCAGTGGCCACATGGAAAGTCCCTCAACACTTTAATAACATTAGGATAGAAAGGATCAAATAAAACTATCATAGAAGTAACTGGTCTGATGAGTGCTGGGAGTTACTGAAGCATAAAGCAGGAACTGATAAAAGATGCAAAAAAGGTTAAATCTACCTTTATTATATTTGTATTTCTTCTTCTAGTTGTATCAAACAGTCTTGGAACAGAAAGTCATGTCATTTAGTGCAATAGTCTTTATTAGAGCATACCAGAAAACAAAAGCAACAGAATAAAACAAAACACAGAGACCAAAATCAGAGCGGAAACATATTAAATATATTAAAACAATGTCTCATGTCACAAAATTAGGAATGTTTAAAACTCACACCTTCAGTCACAATCAGAAAATCCAAGTCAGCGAACTCATCACGTGAACAGACCACACACATTCATATTTCACACAGTTCATTTGAATGCCGACATGAATATTATGTAAGAGTTATGTTTCTCTCCGCTGTTTAATCCCCTGAACGGGTTAAGTGAGATTATCCTCCACTTATCCAGATATCACTATCTTTAATCTCTTAATCCTGTATTTGCTAAACTGCAGATCAGATCAAGTTTGCAGACAGGTGTGAAGGCCCCTTTATGTTCAGTGTTGCAGCAGTTTGGACGAATAGATAAAATAGATCACGTTAAAATCCCCAGAATAAACTGAGCATGAGCGAGAAGCCTTGTGTTGGAGGGTGAAATAATCTGTTGAATTTAACTTCAGACTGATTCCTTTCGGCTGCATGCGTCTTTAGTTATTAAAGAAATAGCTATTAGCTGTGTGAGCAGATTTGCATAGTGCACCCATCTTATTTCTAAGGCATAATAAAATATTTCTTAGAGAATAAAAATAGAATATTTTATACAGTGTAGTCTTTAAGTCCCCCTAGTGACATAGTAGTTTGTATGACTCTATTCCTCAAATTGTGTCTCTAAATGTGAATAAAGTTATTGTTCATTGATATATGTGCAAGTATTCCTCGTTTTTCTGGAAAATGAAATACAAAAAAGTCTAAATGACTTTGTATTATTATCTTCTCTCTTTGGTTTTACATTCTATATTATATAACTTCTTGTCCTTTAATTTAAATGAAATCTCATTCGTTCTGATTTTTTATATTCTTGTTTTTATTCGATCTCTGTGTGAAGAACTTTGTAACATATGTTCTCTTTTGGAAAAAGTTATTTGGTTATTTTATTCAAACCTGAAATTGTGTAATGGAAAATTAAATTAAATATAAAACACTGGTTTATCTTCTTTCCTTCGTCGTGATGGTTGGTGGATAAAAAACATCTCTGGGGGATGTTGCCAACGTTCAGAATGCAAGAACAATGGATGCACACAACAGCTGTACAGTTCAGTTACAGGACATATTGTGTGATGTATAACCTGCTGGAACACAACCATTTAAACTTCCTCCACCTCCACCGGCCTCACACCCTTCACTCTCTCCTCCAGCAGCTAGTTGGTCTTGGTCATGCTCTTGGTTTTCAGCTCTGCCAGCTTACTGGTGACAAAGTTCCACTTGAAGGGAGCGTCCTCGCTGCCTCCTCCCAGTGAGACGTATTTGGAGAAGCTGTTGTTGCTCCTTCCTTCTCCTTCGCTCTCCTCTCCCTCAGTGATCTGCCCGTCCAGGTTCTCTTGCCCTCCTGCCTCTGTCACCGCCGCCTCACCTTCGCCTTCCGCCGCCTCGCTTGCAGCGGCGGCTGCAGCTGCGGCCTCTGCCTGCTTCTTGGCGGCCCAGTTGGCTGCAAAGCTATCCCAGAATCCTGAGCGCCTGGTGGGTCGAGGAGGCTCCTCGGGCCTCACTGCAAGAGGACTGAGAATTGAAGAGAGAAAGCAGAGGGCAGAGATGTCAGTCGCTTTGAAACATATGATACTTTACACAGAACTGTTTTTATTAATTGAGCGTGTACAAAAACATACAATGAACGAGGACTCATTTTTGTTAAAGGTCTATATTCTTAGAACTTGCGTAAATAGTTTAATATTTTTAATTTACACTTGTTCTTTTCTTTCCAAGATGAGCAGACCGACTCCACTCTCGTGCTTGGCCCTGCAGCTATTTAGTATAGTTTAGCATCAAGAATGGAAACAGAGGGAAACGGCTAGCCTGGAAATGAAATATAACCTTATTTAAATCTGACCTTTTAACCAAATTAAGCCCAAATTCGTATTTCAGAAACATATTTTGATCAGACCTTCTTTCCTATTCAGGCTGTCTGTGGTTATTTGAGCTTCCTTTAAGTGTAAGTGAAGTATAATTACTTTATGATAATGCACAGAGACTGTGGCAACGATATTTACCCCACACAAATGTCACAGATGCTACAAGGTGTGGGAATAAAACTCACTGGTCTGCAACCGGTGGGCTCTCGGTCTCCTCCAGAAGCTGGTGTTCATCATCTTTGTTGAACAGAGCTGAAAATCTGTTCCAGCTTTTGGCCCCGGCCCCTTGCATCTGCACACACAACCAACAGGACGCAGGGGGTCACAGGTCAAAATAGACTCAATTGAACGCTGTTCCCCTTTTCAATGATTATTCCTCATTACAACATATGAACTGTATTTGTCTTCATTCATCTAAAACCATTTTTAAAGTTAAACAAAACTCCAATGTTCTCGTACTTTCTTGGCCAGTTGAGAGACAGCGTTGGGCCCCTCGTCCTCCTGCACTGGACTCATATCATTCTCCACCTCTGTGACCTGCAAAATAAAAGTACAACTTGATGATTGATGAAACAGAAATTGGACTTGATTTATTTTAAACTGTCAAAGTGAGTGAGGATACACATGACTTGTGCAGATAAGTCGCCATCTACTGCACATATTGGATATGACAAGAGAAAAACTCTATGAGAAAATAGACCGAGGTGGAAACAAACCTTTTGTACTTGGTGTACACTTAAACACTTTAATATTAGAGTAGTATTTTTACAGTATATGTTAAGCTCATGGTACGCACGGCATAGACTCAAATAGCAGCTCTGACAACCTGACATCCATCTGAATGGAAACTATCTCTCCAAACACACTCAGTGTTTCCTGTCGTCCTTGTTGAGGTCGGGGGATTGTGAGTGAGCACGGTTTGAAGTCAGCTGGTTCGTCCTGGCATTCTGGAACGCCAACTAATGTGTATGTCCAGCTCTCGTGCAGGATCAGGTTTCTCAGAGAGATCTGGGTCAACTCAGCCTGTTTCACCGGCACCGAACACTGGATAGAGTACAGGTGTCGCAGTGAGGCCAGGAAAACCAGTGGAGGTAGAAGTACTCAGAGTATTCAAGGGAAATGCAACCACACAAAGTATTCCAATACAAGTAAATCTGCTGCTGTGTTTAAGTTTATATTTCTTTATTTACAATAAGGGTTGATCCCTCAAATGAGTCAGAGAACAGAAATCTGAGGGGTCAAGAATGGAAGTTATTGAAGTTCTGTAATATTTCCTCTTTTTGGTGAAATGTTAGTTATGTTTGTGTCAAACAATTATTCAAATGAAACGATTTGAAGAAATTAGTGAAATAACTTCTCAGACAATTGAAATATGACTTTTTACCTTTGCCAAGGACGTTATGTTTGCACAACCTTGATTGTTTAAAAACCACTGAACAAATGTGGATGCAAATGTGTGTGAGGAAATAATCCGTAATAATCCAGATCAGGGAGCAACATCGTGAGATCAGACGTATTTTTCAACATTTTCACCAATTTCTCAGGAAATAATTTGTGGATTTTAATGAAAAATATCTGACATATTTAGAGAACTGGCATATGAGTGTGTGACATTTGGTGCAGCTCCATTGAATTTAAGCGGAGCGCTCTGAGTGCGATTATAGTTTTGTAAACCAAAAGGTTTGGGAATGATTATAAAAGTAATGAGAAACTACAGTGTTGAGAGAAAAGTGGTGGAGGAGAAAGTATGATATCGACTTTTCCAGAGGAAGCGCTGCGGAGGCCTAACTTCTGCCTGGAAGTTCCCTTTGCTGAGAAAACCATGAAGCTCATCTGATGAATAAGAAATGATGAGCAAAACCAAACCTGCTGACTTGTGACTCGACCTGGTGACGGTGCCGACGGCCGTGTCAACCTTCTCATGCTACACCACATGAATATGAATTACTAACATGATGGAGAAAGGTGTGAAGATGCTGTACCTCTTCAGCAGCGTCCTCCTCATACTCCGGGTTCAGCGTCTTCAGCACTTTGCTCTTGTAAACCTTCCACATGGGATTCATACTTGCACGAACGATGCTCGGCACTCGGGGCAAGACCTGTGAAGACCTCTCTGATGTCCACCCTCCACCAAGTCTCCTCTTCTAGCGTCAGCACGTCTCAGTTGGGCCGACGTCGAGCTGTTCCCATGAATAAAGTTCTCAGTGGTTCGGGAAGAGCAGGGGAACGTGTTCAGCTCTGAGGCCCCGACTGACTCATAGCATCTCTCCTGAGCTTGTCAGAGCAAACTGGGTTGACAGCTGTGTTCCTCCCTGCGGAGTCTGATCAGGTGAAGCTAGGGAAGCTGTGCTGATCATGCATGCGCCCACGCAGGAGTATACACACACACACACACACACACACACACACACACACACACACAC